CAGTAAATTTTACAGCATGAGGAATGAAACAGTTAGCAAAGTTGACATTTAAACCATCACCACTGGCTATGATTAAATACCTCAGAGATGAACAGAGTGGTTCACACCTCTCCAAGTTATTGTTCTAGGCTCTTATCAGACTCCCTGCCCCACTGCATCCTCTGCCTTTGCACACACCTGAGATTTTCCTTCCATCTCTAATAGCTGGAAACCTGCTTAAACTGAGATTCTGGAGAGTTTCTGATCATGTTACACTGACAGAGAGAGACTGAAACCCCGGTGAACTTCTTGAACTGCAGATTCACCCTCAAAGGTTGAGGCAGATTAATAATATGGGAAGGGCCAAGCTGGCTCCTTGCTCCTCCTCCTCTGATCTCCCTCAGTAAGATGGAGGGAAATGAAACACTAAGGAAAACTGAAAATGACCTGCAGGGAACACAGAGGGCAGATCAGATCCCACTGCTCCTGAAAGAGCCCAAAAGGAAGCCTGGGTGTATTCCTACAGCAGCAGGAAAATGCAGGCTTTGACCATTTGTCAGGCTGCCCAAACATGCAGGAAGCACCAACACCTTCTCTGCAGTCTCCCAAATTCAGGTCCACACCAACAAACACACAATTCCTCAGGCTCCTCTGGCAAGCTCAAGCTGGCCCCACAGCCCAGCAGCCCCAGAGAGCAGGAGGGGCTGTCCCCAAATCATCCCCATCTTGGGATGTCCCACCCAGGATGGCAGTGACAGATCACAGCTGCTCAGCTGAGCTTTCCAGCCAAGACTTCACTCATGGTGGCATCTTCAAATCCCAGGTGAATAAATAACATTCCACACCAGGGCTGTGGGCATCACCTGGCATCTGTGCCCACCTCCCAGATGGCAAATTTAACTTTCCTGTCACACACACCCAGCAGCAGGATGATGGTGGTCATCCCCCCATGTGCCCAGCAGGATTTTCCAAGCACACAATGAAAGCTGTTTAGTTTTCCTCAGAACAGGTTCTACTACAGCCCTTTTACTGAAATACTCCAGCTCCCCCAGTGCTTCCCTGCCCAGCACATGTGCAGCCCAGACAACCCCTGCCTCATCCTGACCAGGCAGGGAGCTGGCAAAACCAGGGTGGTTTTCCTGAGGAAAAGGGAATTCCTGAGAGAATCTGGATTTTTGCAACATGGGGACAAACTGCTTCCTGCTGCCATCCCAAAGCCAAGTCCACAGCTCACACTTCCAAAGTATTTTGTGCTGTAAATATTCATTAGAGGGAAAGCCATGGTTTGTGTTACCTGCTCACCAAGGGGATAATTTACTCCTGCACCTCTGGAATGAGTCAAGATCTCTCAAAGCAGAGTCATCCCAGTGTGGGAACACCACAACTGGCAAGAGAACAACAAAAAACCCTAATTTTGAAACTCCAAAGCTGCTGAAGACACTTTGAAGTTAGGTACCAGTAAAAGAAAGGGAGTTTTTCTTTTGGACATGGGCAAGAAGTGTTAAACATGTGCAGTATTTCAGGTTGGGATGTTGGAGGAATATGGATCCAAACTCATCATTAGATTGGCATGAATTGAAAGAAAAAGTACAACAGATGATATAGCACGAAATGTACATATTATATACCATTATATTGTAATATATAATTATATATATAATAAATCATGTAATAATAAATAATATAATAGAAATTATATAACTTACATTTTATATATATCTATATATCTATATCTATATCTATATCTATATCTATATATATATATAAAAATACATATACACAGCTTATACACACTTAAGGCTTTTTTCAAAAATGAATTGTGAAACTGAAGTTCTTAGAAATAGATACAATTGTCCAGATTAAGATGCCAAACCTTCAGGGACCTGTTTGGATCAGGACATCCATATCACAGAATCCCAGACTGGTTTGGGTCCCTCAAAGCCCACCCAGTGCCAGCCCTACCTGGCACCTCCCACTCTCCCAGCTGCTCCAAGCCCATCCAGTTCTAGGAATGGATGCACACCATGGATTTCAGAAGCCTGGATAAAGATGCCTCCTCTCCAAGAGAAACCATCCCTGTGTGACGTGTCTGGAGTTTTAAACCCTGCAGCTTCCCGAGGAGCAGAATAACCTCAGGTTATTACAATTAGTTTCATCTCATTAATAGATCAATTTCTTTCAAGCATACTGAAACTGGGTTTTACTTTGTTGCTTCTCCTTTTAGGCTCCATTATAGTCTGTGTTCTTAAGTTTTAAGGAGAGCCATCAGTGAGGAGGTTGTAATCTCAGGTGATTAATTGCACAGCATTTTACAAGCTGTAAAACAGAGCGAGATCTCCACAAAGCGATTATGCCATTAACCAGGGGCTCTTATCAGATTTTTCTACAACTACCAGGTTTGTCTGACAGATTGCAAGTCTTAAGTATTTATATATTTCAAAGGTTTACTTATTTTTGTTGTTAAAAAACCCTAAAATCTCTATTGATTGTTGCATGCAATTCCACATGAGAAGTCCCAAGCACCGTGGAGCAGAATACCAATATTTATTACCAGACTTGTGCTCATTATGGTTCTCTCTGACAGGGGTCCATTAAAATCAATTTTTATGTTTCTTATGTTTTTTTTTTCCCACCCAATGTTCTTGCCATGGCGTTTATTAGCCAGTTAGGAGAAACACCAGGCACTGCTTTGTTTTTATTTTATTCTGTCGAAAATAATGAGGCCAGATTTAACAACTATTCACTAGCGATGAGTAGAAGAGATTAAATGTTATACTTCAGCACAAACATTTACAGATGGCTTTAAAATTTTTAGAACTTTATCAGTGCTAAAGACAAAAGGAAGTCCCACCTTTCTTCTTCAGATTTAAATTCTTAAAGTAATCATAAAAACACTGTTCTTGTCTTTAGCTTCAGAGTAATTCCTGAGTGATAGACCCTCTAATGTAACAATTTTGGCACATAAATCATGCAGCCTGTGAGGCTGAGAGTTACCAGGACGCCAATAATGCCTCAAGATGAAGTCAGCTCACCACTGAGAGAAGTGGGGATCTAGAACAGGTGAAAATTAAAATTTAGGAAAAGGATCTAAACTGTCCAACTTCTGCTGAGGATCATGAGAACCTTCAACCAGAGAACATGAACACATTACAGCAAACCAGATGTCCTGGTATAACAAAACCAGGTTTTTTACCAGATGTTCTGGTAAAAGAGCAGCACCCATCCCTACAAAGAGCTCTGAGAGCCCCCAAATCTTTTTCCTACTCTTATTCCACTCCCTCACTGACATTTACCCTTCACAAGGTGCAGATCCACATCCCCTGGGCTGTTCTCCAGGCAGGTTTTGCTCTGCAGTAAAGCCAAGTTCCAACTCTATCCTAAATACCCATTCATTTCCATTCCTCATCAGCAGAAATCCAGCACTTAAAGCAGAATCTGAAGGAAGTGCAGCAGATATTTCCATATCCCTGGAGCTGGCAAAACTGTGAAATCCAGAGGCTTCAGAGTTTTTGTATGGGAGGTAAAATCATATTTCAACCAGAACACACATTATGCCCCATAGTCCTGATTAATTTCACACCCATTTCAGTTACAAGGAGAATAAAATAGGAAAACAAGCATCCTGAAAATCCATGGAGAACTTCAGAGGCAAACACAGGATGAAAAAAAGACAATGTTGAGAAAAGAAGCCAAACCTGTTTGAGTCTTGTCAGTGGCAGCACTGATTTAGCAGACTGTGGAAAAGTGGAATTTAATTACCAAACTCAGTTGAAAGATAAGTCTTAGAGAAGTCTGAGAAAGTCTAAAAAGTCTTGATTTTGCCAAAGAAATTCGGCATAGAAATTTAGCATCTAATTCTGAATAATTCAAAATTCCTTTGAAAAATGTCACTGAACATTTCCTCACAAATAAGGGGAAAAAAAAATCAAATGTCTGAGCAGGACAGATGGACTCCAGCAGACTGAACACAACCTACAACAAACAGGAAAAGGCACTGATGCCTCCTCAGCCAGGCCTGGATTTGAAACATCACCTCCACTGCCACGTGGGACCTGTTCCAAACTCCAGCAGACACTGCAGCTCTGGGAAAGCAACTAAAGCTCTCACCAGTACTACACAGTAATTAAAACAATCAGTCAATCCTGCTTCTACCTGTTGGAGCACAGATCTATATATAAAAAATATCAAAAAATGAAAACAGAAAAATAAAATATAAAAATAAAAAATATTAAAAATAAAAATAGATATAAAAATAAAAATACAAAAATGATATAAAATATAGGATATAGAAACATAAAATATAAAAATATGAATAGAAAATAGAAAAATAGATAAGATAAAAATATAAAATTATAAAGTTATAAAAATATAAAAATAAAACTAAAACTAAAAATCTTAAAACTAATAAAAATAACAAGATATTAAAATAAAATTTAAAGAATTAAAAATAAAAAATAAGAATATAAAAATAATATAAAATATAAATATAAAAATAATATAAAATAATATAGAAATATAAAAATATAAAGAATATAAAATTATAAAAATATAAAAACATACAAATAATATATAAATATAAAAATAATATAAAAATAACATGAAAATAATATAAAAATAATATAAGAATATAAAATATAAAAATAGAAAAAATAGAAAAAAATTTATAAATTATAAAAATAAAAATATAAATAAATAAAAATATAAAATTGTAAAAATAGATTTAGGTCTGCAAGATTTGTGAGGCGTGCAGGAGATTTTACCCTCAGCGACACTTACATGTGTGCCAAAAATTAGGGCAGGCAGGAGATTCTTTCAAAACTTACCTTAAAAACACTTGGGAGTTTAAAATGTTTGACAATATTTTGGAGGCAGCAGAGGAATTGATGTATTTTGGAGTCCTTGAGGGCACAAGAGGCTCCTCCCAGTAGGATTAGCACAAACAAGAGCGCTCTCAGATGCTCTGGGCAATCTCCTTCCCCCAGCACAAGCACAAGGCCAGGATCAATAGGACATGAACTCACCCCCTTGGCAGCAGGCTCGTTTTGGGAAGTTTTATTTCATGTACGCCCTTCTCACAGCCCGAGATCTCGATCCTGCCCAGGGGGCTGAGCAGAACCACCTGCTTCTCCGTGCATGGAGATCCTCCCTGCTTGGAATTCACCTGTTCAAGGGAATAAAACCCTCTTTAGCTGCAGGGATTTGCACCAAGGAACGGATTCGAGCAGTTTTCAAAAGCAATTTGAAGAAAGGAAGACAGCAGTGAATTTCAAGTTTCCTCAACTACGGCATTCACTTTCAAAATTCCAACTTAAAATGATCTATCTTCACAAGTCAGCACCTAAATCAAAGTCTCAAAAAAACCATTAACTAGCAGCATAGTGATCTTCATAAAAACATGAAATAGCAGCAGTTTCATGGCTGGTTTATCAGCTAAAATCCAATGTGTTGTGACACTTATTTAAAACAGGACTGTTGTGACAACAAAGTAGATGCAGTGGTTTAGAGCAGCAGTGTTATGCAAATAACAGCTGGAACACAAATAGAATATGTCTGCTGGAAAAGAAAACACATGAAAAAATCAATCATTCCTTAGGAAAAGAAGCATATTTTTATTCCCATTGTTACCAGTCTGCTTTTACGATTACTGATAGGATGTAGCTGGAAACAGCTGCCAAGTATTTCTCAATATTGGACAAGACCAACAATAACAGACTTGTCAAATTCATCTTGGCTAAAAAAACCCCCCAGTCTGGAAGTGTGAGTTGTATTCCCAGTTTGGTTTGTGCCATCACTGCAGCAGGACAGGACAGAACATCCCCAGTGTCCTCTGCAGCCACCCAGACACCAAACCTTTGGTCCACACCACACAAAGTCCTGTGCTCCAAAGAGCTCAGCGCATGTGAAACTGGGAAAAAAGTGAAAAAAATTAGAAACTGTGAGGCAGCACAAGGTAACTCCACCAGCAAACACAGAATAACAGGCTCCTACAACTGTTTGGGATGGAAGGAAACTTAACAATCACTTATTTCCACATCTCCCACTGTCCCAGGTGCTCCCAGCCCCAATGTCCAACCTGGCCTTGGGCACTGCCAGGGATCCAGGGCCTGCCCACCCTCCCAGGGAACAATTCCTTCCCAAAATCCCATCCACCCCTGCCCTCTAGGAAGCCATTCCCTGTGTCCTGTCCCTCCAGGTGCAGCACCCTGCACTTGACCTGTTGAACTTCATGAGCTTTCCTGAGACAACACTGAGAGAACAAATTTCTTGGATTTATTTTATTTACTTCCCTGTGTTCAAGGCTGGATGGGGCTTGAAGCAACCTGGTGCAGTGGAAGGTGTCCCTGGCCATGGCAGGAGATGGGGTGAAATGAGATTTAAGATCCCTTCCAACCCAACCCATTCTGGGATTCCATGAATGACAGAGCAGGGGTGCAGCAGGAGCCAGGAAGGTCCAGCAGGGTGACTTACAGCTGCCCACTGCTCACAGCTGTACAATAATTAGTTGTTTTCCAAATAAGAGAATCTTTTCAAACCCCATTATTAAGCGCTGTGGAATGAAGTCACATCTGTGAGTAATGTAAACCAGTGTGAGAGAGAGCAGAAAAACCATCAAGCTGACAGCTTTGCATAACTAGAGCAAAAGTAAACCTAAAGCCCTGAATTTTGGGAAGCTCTTACACAATTCCTCCATTACAGACATGCAGCAACCACAGCTCACTCAGCTTGGAGAAGTCCAGGAACTGTCCAGGTTCCCTGTGGTTTATTTACTTGGACTGCAACCCCAGTTGCTGAATAATCAAATGTTTGGTGGCATCACAAACAAGCTCCTTTCCAACCAACTTTTTCCATGTTCCTTTTTCGCAGACATCTTTCATGAACAATCCTTTCTTAGGATTTTTCCTTGTGAGAAGCTGCAGTTTCAGGAACCAAAGTAAACAATGGTTATCTGCTGCTGTAGAATGCAACAAGTAAACCCATGATTAGTCTCCTGTGGGTGTTTAGATTTCTTTACCACTCATGGCAGAGCTGGCTCTTGCTCTGTCTGAGACACAGATCTTTGTTATTCACTCTTTTCTATTCTTACCTTAGCTAGCTGCTGAAGAAACCTTTTCCTTTCTATTGCTTTTTAGTATAGTCTAATGTAACATATATCATAAAATAATAAATCAAGCCTTTTGATCATAGAGTCAACATTCTCATCTCTTCTTCATCCTGAAAACCCTTGTGACCACAGTCACATTCCTTCCCCTCCTGGAGGACACGGGAGAACTTCTTTGGAGCAGCATCTCATTGCAGAAGTCAGCAAACAAGCAGTAAAATTTACATATGTGGCAAGCCAGCACACATTCTTCATGTTTATTGGTGTGACAGCCCTGAACCAGATGCACTGAACCTCACACCATGTGCTCCAGGACATTTCCATCAGAACAAAACCAGGACGCAGGGAGCAGCAGAGAACTATCAATAACCCTCTGAGCTCTCTCCAAGTTGAACTAAGCTTTATGGATGAAGCCCTGAGTGACTGCAAGCCCTGTTTGCAGCCTTGTTTATCATATTCATCAGGCAGCAATATTCAGAAGGTTTATTTCTGTAAAAGAACGAGGCTGCAGGACATCAATCCACATCCATATGCAATTGGGTTGGGATGCTCCAGGATGAAGGTCACTGACAGACGTACAACGCACACTCCTCTGTCCAGACACTAATTTTGTTATTTAGGCTGGACAGGAGAAGAAGTTTCCCCCCAGAAAGGGTTGTCAGGCATTGGAACAGGCTGACAGGGGAAGTGGTGGAGTCACCATCCCTGAGTGCTCCAAAACAACGAGGATGTGGCACCTCAGGGGTTTAGTGGTGCTGGTGCTCGCTGGACACTTCCCCTGGATCCCTGGAATGCCCAAGGCCAGGCTGGACACTGGGGCTGGAGCCTGGGACAGGGGAAGGTGTCCCTGCCATGGCAGGGCTGGCACTGGGTGGTATTTAAAGTCCCTTTCCAACCCAAACCATTCCATGATTTATGAAAAATTGGAAGAATTCTGATCAGCTCCTGCATCATCTCCACCTTCATTCTGCCCTTCCACTGCAATACCTATAATTCTGTAACAAAATACCTCATATTTTTGATATTGGGTAGAAAAAAATTATGATTTTTAGACAGGAAACCTCTCCTGCCAACCTCTTGAGTTTTCCAAAAGAAATCAAACCATAGGAGCGACATTTTTAAGTTTACCTCACCAGACTGCTAAATACAGCAAACTGGAAGATTTCAATTTTATTTAAATTTGCATTAAGCAGCTTTCATACTACAGTAAATAATTCAAATATTTCCATGTTCTGTTGCTCCTAACACCCCCCAAAACTCCCCTGGACATTGGCCTGACATCCTAGAATTCAATTCATATCCATAATGATGAACAGAGAAATAGAAAAGGCAGAGAAATCTTGAGAATCAACAAGGCTTAAAAAAAAAAATTAAATCTGCAGCAAAGCATTTCCATGCTCCATGTTGTCCCAGGAAACAATTTGTGTTTTCCAGAAAAATTCAGAGAGCAAGCCCTGATTTTCCTTTCAGGATTATGGAGAACTGAATCCTTCCCATCAGAGCCCTATCTCTGATGGATCTCCCCTCCACAGGTTTTTCCATTTCCTTCACTCTGCTTTTACAATATAAACCCACCACACCAATATCAAAATATTAACAATAATCCCCTCTGCATCTGATTTAACAGGGGATTTCCATTAGGCTACAGCATGGAAGCCCTCACGAATTTTTTCTTTTCCCCTCAAATATTTCTGAGAATCGAGGCAAAAATAACATATTCAGCTGGCAAATCGAATGTGGCCTCACACATCCTGCAATTGGATTTTTTCAAACCTGCATTAATCAGGGAGATGTCCCAGTTCCTCCAAGAAAGGGGTCTCTTGATCATTTTCAGATTAACCAAGCGTTAATTGAGCTACGTGTGATGGAAATGCAACCAACAGCAGGAATTTGCATTGCAATTCTTCCCCCTATTTCCCTCAGACCACAAAATGGTCCCGTTCCCACCATTTCTAGCCAAGCCACTGCTGCAAATTTGGAAATGCTGTTTAGTTCTTCACACTTCTGTGGAGCTGAAGAACCCACCCAGGTGCCTCAGGAGGTTTCCCACCCAACCTTTCTCCCATGCTGGGCTAGGAGGGAACCACACACGGCCTTCAAACACTCAAAATCACTGTCAGAGCACCCCAGATTGCACCAGTCATAGGAATTCTAACCCACAAAATCTGAACTTCTGCATGAATTAATGCAATAGAATCACTACCTGCAGGTGATTGCCTTGGAGGTGTTGATACCCACCCCAGCAGAGGTGTGACCAAGCACCACCCTGTTCATTTACTTCCCATTCTCCACAAATTTATCCTAAAACCTCCATCACTTCCCATTCTCCACAAATTTATCCTAAAAATTCCATTGAAGTCCTGACATTTGCATCAACAAATGAGCTACAATTCACAAACACCTGCCCTAGAATATCAGGGACTCACCAATAAACAAACACCCAGACATTTGCTGAGTTTGTGGAGGATGATCAATAAATGCCAGGGAAGCTGCTCCTTCCTCCTAATTACAGGAAAAAAACACCAGGCCTGAACTCTTAGAGAGTCCTTCTTTTGAGTATCTCAAACCTGCTTGCTATTGACTCAAGTTTTGAATTAAAATTCAATCAAAGCTTCAAATATTGGATTTAAATTTAAGGGGAATACATCAGAGTTTTGGCAATTTGCTTCTTCATTTCAGTCACCTTTCCCTGACACAGTAAGTTTGCATCCTTCTCCTAAGAAAATCCTTATCAAATCCCATCAGGCAAAGCAAAAATCCATCATAAAGCAATGTTTGCAAAATGGTTTAGTATCAAAAAGCCTCTGCCACCGGTGAGGCTGCCCATGCCAGTGGGCCACCCATCCAAGGATTTCACTGAATTACACTTCTCTCCACATCTCCTTAATAGTTTAAAACTTCCTGTATTTGTTTTACTGGGTTCTGCCTGTTTATTTGAAAGGAAACAATCCATTGTATGTAAAGAATATGGGAAAAGATATTAATAGTAAAAGTAATGTATTTCTGCACATATAGTGCAGGGTGGAGGGTGATTTTCCAACCTCCTGGGCCTTGTTTTAGAG